GTGGAAATAAATGGTGCCCTACATGACTTCCGTGTCCTGATTATTACGTTAAAATGTGTCGTTTACGTTCGTTATCTATTCAAGTCACGTGGTACCAAACTTAGCCTGTGGGGAGCTAGCGAAACGGCCGTGAGCAAGCTAAGAGCATGGCATGTTGTTATATTTTTACAAGACACGCGCGTCACGGTTACCAAGTTTGAACCAGTCATATCTTTCGTCATTCATTTACGTCACGCAACACCACATTTGCTATATGTGGAGCTAGCAAAACGGCCGTGAGCGCATCATGAAGGTCTCAATATACCCAAAGTAGTGTTGACGCGCACGCACGCTGGGCACAGCGACGCTACATTTGGAAAACGCGAACACTCTATAATCTAACCCCAGGCGCGACCAGCGTCCGTCGGCACGAAATGCGACATGCTGCATTTCGCACCGACGCGTTACCCAGACAACACTGCGCCTCCCTCTTTTCGTGACGGAGAGATGCCGGACGCACTGAATTGATCGATATGTGAGGTTTAAGGTCCCAAAACCACCATATGATTATGAAAGACGCCGTAGTGGAGGGCTCCGGAAATTTTGACCACCTGTGTTCTTTAACGTGCACCCAAATCTGAGCACACGGGCCTACGACATTTCCGCCTCCATCGGAAATGCAGCCGCCGAAGCCGGGGTTTGAATCCGCTACCTGCGGGTCAGCAGCTGAGTACCTTAGCCACTAGACCACCACGGCGGGGCTCCCCGGACGCACTGAAACGCGCATGCGTTAAAGCGACGCAGCGCTGCGCACGCCAGCTAGTATATGGCAGGACTGGCGCCTGGCGTGGCAACGTAGGCGTGACGCGATGAATTGAACGCCGGCGAGAACGCGCACCGCGTCGCGTCGAAACGTTTTGGCGCCTTGACTGTGGCATGAAGTCATGTTATTACATGACACACATCTCATATTTATCATGTTTGCACCAGTCATATAGTTCGTCATCCATTCACTTACTGTATTACCAAATTTGGTATATGTGACGCTAGCCAAACGGCCACGAGCGCATCATGAGCGTGTCATGTAGTCATGTTGTTACATGACACGTATGTCATCGTTTTCATGTTTGTATATGTCATTTACCTATGTCGTCCGTTGGCGTTGCGTATTACTTAGTTTGGTACATGTGTAGCTAGCGAAATGACCGTAAGCGCATCAAGAGCGTAGCGTGTAGTCATGTTGTTACACGACACGAAATCTGATTGATTTGTGGGGTTTAACGTCCCAAAACCACCATATGATTATGAGAGACGCCGTAGTGGAGGGCTCCGGAAATTTTGACCACCTGGGGTTCTTTAACGTGCACCCAAATCTGAGCACACGGGCCTCGACATTTCCGCCTCCATCGGAAATGCAGCCGCCACAGCCGGGATTTGAACCCGCGACCTGCGGGTCAGCAGCCGAGTACCTTAGCCACTAGACCACCGCGGCGGGGCCACGACACGAAATCTCTTGTTTATCAAGTTTTCACCATTACAATACCTTCGTCAACTATTCACGTCCAATTATAACAAATTTGGTATGGGTGAAGCAAGCGAAACGGCCCCCAGCGGATCATAAGCGTGGCATGTAATGTTATTACATGACACGCAAGTCATGATTATCAAGTTTGCACTAGTCACATACCTTCGTCATCCATTCAAGTACTGTAATACCTCCCACATATGTCAATTAACTCACAGCCCTCAGACCCCAGCAGCTGCGAAACAAATGACCACGGCGGCGGTCAAATCTGCAACGCAGCAGAGGCTGCTAAAAATCTCTGGATCCGGACAGGCCACCGTGGGAACCTGAACTTGTCAACGTTTAACGCTAGAACCTTATCTAGTGAGGGAAGTCTAGCTGTACTATTCGAGGATATAGAGGGTGTCAAATGGGATATAATAGGCCTCAGTGAGGTCAGGAGGACAGATGAAGCATATACGGTGCTAAAGAATCAGCACGTCCTTTGCTATCGGGGCTTGGCTGACAGAAGAGAACTGGGATTCATTTATTGATATGTGGGGTTTAACGTCCCAAAACCACCATATGATTACGAGAGACGCCGTAGTGGAGGGCTCCAGAAATTTTGACCACCTAGGGTTCTTTGATGTTCACCGAATTTGGAGCACACGGGCCTACAACTCTTCCGCCTCTATTGGAAATGCAGCTGCCGCAGCCGTGATTAGAAGCCGCAACCTGAGGGTCAGCAGCCGAGGACCTTTGCCACTAGACCACCACGGCGGAGCAAGAGAACTGGGAGTGGGGTTTTTAATTCACAGAAACATAGCTGGCAACATAGAGCAATACTGTAGCAATATTTAAAGGGTGGTAGGTATCCTAAATAAACATAATAATAGATAGAAGATGAAGGTGGTACAGACTTACCCACCTACATCCAGCTATGATGACGCTTCAGTTGAAAGCTTCTATGAAGACGTGGAATGGGCAATGAGTAAGATAAAAACGTAGTTTACTACACTGATGGGAGACTTGAATGCAAAGGTAGGGAAAAAGCAAGCTGAAGATCAGGCAGTAGGAGATTATGGCATCGGTACTAAAAATGCCAGAGGAGAGCTACTAGTAGAATTTGAAGAACGCAATTATTTATGGTTTTTAATACCTTCTATTGAAAACGAGGAAACCGTAAGTGGACATGGAGGAGCCCTATTGGCGCAAGTAAGAACGAAACAGACTTTATAATGAGTGCGCACCCAAACATCGTGCAGGATGTGGAAGTAGTTGGCAAGGTACGATGCAGTGACCATGGAATGATATGATCTCGAATTCGCCTAGACTTGAAGAAAGAACGACAGAAACTGATACGCAAGAAGCCAAACAATGAGCTAGCATTGAGAGGGAAAGTACAGGAATTCACAGTCTCACTTCAAAACAGGTACTCGGCTCTTATTGAGGAAACTAAACTCAGCGTACATACAATGAATGATAATCTGACGAGTATCATTACGGAGTGTTCAGTGGAAGTAGGAGGCCGGGTAGTTAGGAATCTCAATTAGAATCGTCAAAGCATGAAAATCTCAAGTACCACAGACAAAATAAAACTGTCAGAGCTTTCGAAGTTGATTAATAAGCGTAAGCTAACTGATGTAAGAAAGTATAACATGGAGAGAATCGAACACGCTATGAAAAATGATGGAAGCGCCAGAGCAGTGAAAAAGAAACTTGGGAGAGGGAAAAATCAGATGTATGCACTGAAGGACAAAGAAGAAAAAATAACCACCAATATAGATAGGATAGTTAAAATAGCGGAAGAGTTTTACAGAGATCTGTACAGTAGCCGAGACAATCACGACCGTAATACTATAAGGTCTAGCAGTAACCCAGATAACACCCCACCAGTAACGATAGAAGTCAGAAAAGCCTTGGAGTGCTTCGGCCTATTAAAACGTAGATGATTGAGTTAAGACTATTGAAAAGTGCACAAAGAGCATATATTTCTCAAAGTTCATTCGTGGTATGTTCTTTTTAAGGACTGGCTCTGGCTATTTAGACCGGCTCTGGCTCTGGCTATCCGACTGGGTGTGGCTATTTGTTTTTTTTTTTGCACCTCCCAAAGAAGCCAGGAAATTCATACAGTAGGCCCCGGCGATCACGTTTCTGATTACAGCACCACGCGCCGTGCAGGGCTTCCATTTGAAAAACAACTCCCGTGCTCTTTTCCTACGCCTGATCAAACCTACTTTCACGCGCAGTGTTAGAACGTCGCTGAGTGATGGTATTCCTTTCTCCATGTTGATCGGAGATTTGACGTAGCACGCAGCTTGTCGATTGGTCTAAATCACTCACGACGGCGGGCTACGCCTTGCCCTGCCGGTGAGGGAGAAGGGCGACGAAGCCGCACAAAAATGTGAAACCAGCTGGAACTGATGTTCCAACTCCTGTAACTCCCTTAGTATAGCACGCATTCGCATTATTCTTACGGCAGCGAATTCACAAAGGAAAGAGCACATATATCTCTGTATACCAATTTTTGGAATGTGAGGTTGTTTACGGGCACTTTAACACAGGTGTCTCAAACACGCGGCCCACGCACATTTTGTTTGCGGTCCGCAGCTTCGGAATGAATAAAATATTTGTGGGTTTGCTAAACAGCATAGTTACATCATTTACTCGAATATTTTGATTATTACTTTCGTTATGGGGTAAGCCGGAAAAACTCGACTAGTTTCTGTTTTTTATCTCAGACACCTATTTACGACATGAGCGTGACCCGAAGTTAATATTTCAGAAGCAGCGTTCAAAGTTGAGTTAACCTGGAGATCACTATCGGTATGTTTCTTTAATGCTGACACCTAATTGTTTTCAGAAATTTCTCATTACGCACTCTCATCTCCCACGCGTACTATGCCCCGTGGAGAGAAGGGGCGTAGACGCTCACTCGCGTGCCTTTTTCTTGCGGTTGCGAGGATTATACGTCTTGGCTGGCCTTGAGCTTTCACCGTAGCATATATGTTGCAGTTACCGGGCGCACAAAGGTCACTGCAATTGTTACACAGTCTCCGTTTGCGAAAAGGGCACTCTTTTCATACACAGCGAACTAACATCTCGGACGCCTATTTGCATTCAACTGTAGCTGCGAGTACGTTTCGTGCGTCAAATCTTCGTGAGAAACGCAGGGCACGTTTCGATCTGCTTGCCACACTGCGCGTGACGTTCCAATTCGTTCCTATCACGATCGTTGTTTCGCCTTTGCGACTTTTCCTTTTTGCCAACGGAATCTGTCAGCGCAGCGTAAGTTATTGTTTGCTGCTCTATTTACTGTGTTATTCTCTACTTTTCGTTCGCGCCTCCTTTTCACAAAAAGAATACTGCGTGCCATAGTGTAACCGACAGTCTAAAAGGTGTTTAGATTTCAAGCTTGAGTGAATGTACCTTTAAACTAATTTAACTGTCAATGCAATAAAAACATTACTTGCAGCGTATTTGATATTCCGTTTTCTTTCAAAAAGAATCTGCTTACCTCGAATGCCAGGGTACCTTTTTCCATTGGAGAGCCATTTTGTCATGTCATACCTGAAATAACATATCAATTTTTTTTGGAAAATACGCGTAATCATGCAATTATGTGCAGTTACTTGACACCCAATTTTTAAAGTCTTAATTTAACCTAACAGCGTAAAAGAGCTGATATATCATAAATTTTGGTGTCGGAGTCATTTCTTGTGTCAAAAGAAAATGGCGTAGTCTGTGAGCGATAATTCAAGACAGACGCAAATAAATGCGTAACAAAAGTATTTTGTTTTACTGGAATTTGAACCCTCGCACTCTAGACGTCAAATAGGTGTCGTTCGTCAAAGCAATGCGTTTCTTCTTTTTTTGCGAACCACAGATGTATGCCAGTGGTTCGAATCAGTTTGAAAAAAGTAAGGCCACTTTTGTGCTTTTGCAATCTGAAAAAAAAAATCGGAGCTGGCACGCAAAGAGCCACTACTTGGTGAACGCACATCGAGTTCTTTCTTTCTATATTGAAGGATTTACTTCACCACTTTTGTATTTCTCCTTGTACTCATTCTTACCCTGACACTGCTCTTCCTTTCTCTGACTTTTTCCTATTGCTTGTTGCGATGTAAACAATTTCACCTTATCAAGAGAGCCGGTGTGGCTAAATTTGCTTTTGCTTTCTTGAATATGTGCAATGGCTTCGAGTGTGCGAGCTGGTGCTTGTATATGTGGCACTGTCGAACAAATTTTGCGTACTTTAGGTGAACACACAAATTACCTTTCGTTTTTTGCATTGTCGGACAGCGAAATTTCAGCGAGAAGCTCTGCACCGTTTTTTTGTTGTATTTACACCTAGAGAAAAGAGGAAACTCGTGTCTGACGCATACGACGCGCGTAAGCAAACGCTGAGTGCGGCTGCTCAGTCTGCGAGTGTTGAGATACAGTTCATCAATGAGTTACTTTCGGAATACACACAGATGGCTCAAGACTGCAAGCATGCAAAGGGCACTTGAATGAGGCCTGATCGGAGAATACACGTATTTTAGCTGTCAGCTACAACTGTGATCGTTAAAGAACGAAACGTCTAGGCAAAGCTTCAGAACTGATAATCCTGCGTATAAGAGCGAGGTGATTTTCTTTTCCACTATAAATGCGAATACATTATTAGTCGGACTACGTCAGGCATCCGGTGGCGTTCGCGCGCCGGCAGGTGTTAGCTCTCTGCTCTCACTCTCTCTCTTATAGCGACAGCTGCAGGCGCGCCCGCTTAGCTTCACCCAACGTTACTAGAACTGAGGTCAGCGTCAAAGCTCCTAATCTGCGTCAGTGGAGGAGGATAGGCCAAACGGTGGTCGCAAGAACTAGCGGCGCTGCAGTCTGACCTTGGGATGCTCTAGGCACATCGTCGGCTACGGCGGCGTGACACGGCGGCTGACTGCGCTGTTCCTCGCGCTGGCCTTCCTGTTGTACTGTTATCGAACTTAACTATTCATTAGGCGCTTCCAGTCGACATGGTCACGTTAGCTTTGTGGATTAAACAAGGTATCTTGTATAGATTGGCCCGGATATGTTGCTCATTGCAAGTTGACTTAGAATCTATTGCCTATATTTGCGCTGTCAGCATTTGGTTTAGCCTCCAAGTACGAGAAATTCTACATGAATGAGCGTTTTTAGCGTAAAAATTTTATGACTACCGTTAAAATTTTAACCTCTGTGATCTGGCCTGGACGAGGAACGGCCAAAACATCTGTAAAAACCTGAAACAAGTGGACTTACTGAAATACGATAATGCTCTGTAAAAGCAGTACTTATGTTTTCTACTAGTTACAAAAAAATAAAAGACTTTGTTTAAGAAACAGTTCCCGTGCTTCACACTGTTCATCAACAAGTCCTCGCGACGGCTACCAATCGCGAGCAGAGTGCAAATTGTGGCAGCAACTTCACTTCCTTTCTCGCATTTTCCACTTTTTCAGAAAGTTCCTGATTCGTTTTCTGGCAAAAAATAAAAAAAAAAACAAATATTCACGAACATTACACTTACGTTTTCATGATGAGAGGTATAACTCAAAAGATGCAATGGCAGCCACCCCAACTTTTCAAGCACAATCGAAAAGAGGTCATCAGCCAGGGTGTTTTCGTGAAAAGCTTCTTGACAGTTCTGTTAATTGCTTTAATGTAGAAAGAAGGCCGAAGAGATGATATAAGGAGCCCTCTTGAAAGCACCTCATCTGAATAGTTAACATTCGTGTAGTTTGGGCGCGCCTGCTCCAGGGGTACTTGTGCAAGATACTAGAGGCCCTCTTTGCACGTTGTCACTTATTCAATTTTTTACGAAGGTACAAACCGATGCAGTACACTCACAGTGGGCTTCTTTCTAGTGCACTTCACTGCACAGAGAAGTGACACCGACATGTGCTCCCGTTGCCTGCTCTAGGTTAAGAAATGAGAACACTGCGAGTGATAAAAAATTGGCAGATCCCACGTACAATGGGAATCGATGATATGCGAAGCACGAATGAGGAAGGCTTATATGTCAGTTTAAAATCAGAACAACGTTACGAGGCGGAGGTAAATTATGCCATACATAACTTTCATGTCATAATTATCAAGTCTGGACGTGTCATTAACCTTCATCATCTGTTCACGCCACCTAATACCAAATTTGGTATATGTGGAGCTAACGACATGGCCGCGAGCATTCTATGAGCGTAGCATGTAGTCATGTTTTACATGACACGCATATCATGATTATCATGTTCGGACGTGTCATTTAACTTTGCCGTCTATTGAGGTCAGGCAATACCAATTTGGTATACGTGAAGCTAGAGAAACGACCGCGAGTGCATCATGAGCATGACATGTGGTCGTGTTGTTACATGACGCGTATCTCGTGATTTCACCTTTCAAATTTCAACTTTCAATTTCAACTTTCATTATCATGTCTGCACCAGTCACATAGCTTCGTCGTCCATTCACGCCCCGAGTACCAAACTTGGATAATGTGAAGCTAGCGGAACGCTGGAGAGAGCCTTATGAAGGGCCCCATATACTTCGACGTAACTTTGAAGAGCGCGCGCTGGGCGCAGTGACGCTTCGCTAGCAAAACACGAACACTCTAAAGTCTGATGACAGATGCGACCTGTCGCCGCAGTCCAGCGGCAATGGTTGCGAAATGTGACATCCTGCATTACGCACCAACGACGTTACCCAGAATGCACCGCGTCTGCCTAGCTTCGTGACGAAGGGACGCCGGGCGTGCTCAAACGCGCTTACTTCGAAGCATCACAGTGTGGCACGCGCCTGCAAGTATATGCCAGGCAGATCGGTGCCTAGCGTGGCATCGCCGATAGACCCGACGAAACGAACGCTGGAGCACACGCGCATCGGGTCACGTCTAAGTGTATTGGCGCCTTGAGTGTGGCATGTATTCATGCTCTTACATGACACGCATCTAATATTTATTATGTGTGCACCAGTCACATATCTTCGTCATCCATTCATGTGACGTACGAGCCATCCACATCACGTGGTAAGCACGTGTGGATGAAAGGCCTCGCCTTGTAGAGGCACGCGTGCATCGAACCGCGCGAAGCCGTGAACTTTAAAGCGCGCCTTTCATGCTGTTCTGCAACCTCGATAGTTTAACGAGAACACGCGAATCGCCACCGACCTCTGATTATCCCTAACGGTAAATGATGTATATATATAAATCACCGCTAGAAAGCTGAAAAACGTACGCTTTGTGGCCGAGTCATTTTGAACCGCGCGTTGAGGGGTGAGGAGTCGTCAGTTCGACTCTTGGCGACATAACTTTCAAATGCGAAGCATTTATTATCGAACTTCGGCGACTTTGAGCACATCTATCTATCTATCTATCTATCTATCTATCTATCTATCTATCTATCTATCTATCTATCTATCTATCTATCTATCTATCTATCTATCTATCTATCTATCTATCTATCTATCTATCTATCTATCTATCTATCTATCTATCTATCTATCTATCTATCTATCTATCTATCTATCTATCTATCTATCTATCTATCTATCTATCTATCTATCTATCTATCTATCTAGCCACCTACGACTTTTAGCTCTCGAGGCCGTTTCTGTAATGGTATCGGCACCAAAATTGGTATGATATAGCATGACTGTATGAAGAGCATAAGTGGCTAGCCATAACATGAAAATTATCATATGCTTGTCAATGATGTCATGATTTACATTTCATGTCTTCCTGCTCTTGCGGTGGTTTCCTTCACATGATATGTTGCAAAACTGGTTTGGTATGGTATGGTATGGCATGAAGGCATTGCGAACTCAAGCGACAGACCCTAACATAAAATTCATGGCATGCGTGTCATGTAACAACATGGCTACACGTCGCAATCAAGATGGGATTGTGGCCGTTTCGCTAGCTTCGCATATACCAAACTTGGTATTACGGGACGTGAATGGTTGACGAAGGTATGTGACTAATGCAAATATCATAAGAAGGTGCGTGTTATGTTAAAACATGACTACATGCCACGCTCATGATGCGCTCGTGGCCATTTCTCTAGCTTCACATATAGCAAATTTGGTATTATGGGACGTGAACAGATGACGAAGGTATGTGACTGGTGCAAACATGATAATGATGAGATGCGTGTCATGTAACAACGTGACTGCGTGCTACGTTCAGGATGCGCTCGCGGCCGGTTCGCTAGCTTCACGTGTACCAAATTCACCGTTCGTTCGGCCCGCCAACGGATGGCGAAGGCAAATGAAACGTGCAAATGTGACAATCATGACATGCGTCTCATGTAAGAGCATGACAACATATAACGCTCATGATACTTTCGCAGCCGTTTCGCTAACTTCCCATAAATAAAATTACCAAAGTTGGTATCACCTGATGTGAATTGACGATGAAGGTAAGTGACACGTCCGAACATAATAATCGTGGCATTCGTGGAATAATAAACTTGACTACATGATACGCTCATGCATGCTCGCGGCCGTTTCGCGGGCTCCATCTGTATTAAATTTGGTATCAGGTGACGTGAATAAATGACGAAGATAAATGACACGACCAAACTATATAATCATCACCTGGAAGTGATGTACGGCATAATTTACCTGCACCTTATAACGTAGTGCTTATTTTAAGTTGACAGATCAACCTTTTCGTTTGTTCTTCGCACATATTCGATTTCCACAGTGCGTGGAATCCACCAATTTTATGCCTTAAAATGGCGATTCCTTCACTTGCCGTAATAATACCATACTTGTCAATGTTTCTTCAAAAAGTTTTGAGCGTGCTCATGCGACTGTGCATGCAGTTCTTAGGAGGCTAACATTTTGAAGCGAGATAGTTTTTCTACTGACGCTTCGTCTAAGAAATGACGTGCACTGCTTCTCGGCACGGCCGCGCATATGCGCAGTGATAGTTTCGATGAAATGGCATGGCTTCTGTGTCGAAAGAGTAACGACGCTGGGGCAAACCGCCTATTACGCTGGAGTAGGTGACCCAACGGGATTCAAATACATGTAAGGTTTATACCGCCACATCATCTTATTTTACTACCTGGGTATTTGTAAAACCAGTTGAAAAACTCTAAATAACGTTGGTTATTGCATAGTTACAGGTACTCCTGCGAAAGCAGAACCTTGACAGCTTTCACAAAACACAAGAAGGGCTGGTGGCGTCGCCACCGATTGTCAGCGTTGCAGGAGGCAAGATAAATATATGCTTAAAGCCTTTAGATAAAAAAAATATTGCTTGTAAAATTACTACATAGTTTTGGTATCAACTACTTCAACTACAAACACTACGAAAGTTTAGTTTTCTGTCATGCCGTAAAAACGAAAATGGGCCGAGAAAAATCAGCTGTCGGCCCCGTTAGGTTAAATATTTATTTGGAGCGTATATGTGTAATAAATCTGTTCTGTAAGGCCTCGTGTGTCATTGTTCAAGAAATAGGACAGACGAGAGTGTGAAACCAACAACAAAAATCCTACAGTGCCAATAAATGGTGTCTGACTACGGCGCGCTCATACAAGACCACGTCTGCAAGCGGTAGCCGATGTGACTGCATGAACTCATGGAGTAATGATAAAAATGAAAAAAAAGAAAAAACTAGGGTACAGCCGAGGAATAAATAAAATTATATATTCGAAGGGGGGCAGAGCTTGTCTACACTGCAAGAAAGAGTCGAAATATTTGCGAATTTGTCGAAAGAAAAGATTGTGCCGAAAATATATGGCATGGACTATTTTCGACACGTTAATGATGCCGAATATAATAACTTTCACCCTCAAGTGATTAACCTCTCGCTTAAAACCTTCTAAACTCATTTCCTATTCATACTGCATGACTTCCTGCAAAAGGCAGTGCGCAAGGACAAAGAAAGTGATTGCAGGTCTGCAGTTGCACGTTCAGCTGTCATGCGAACGCGGGGATTCGCATAAGCCGGTGGGTTACCAGAACTGCGATGGCGTGGTGCCCATGGCATTAAGACGCTGTAAACCAAAATAAAAAGTGTTTGCACTGTATATGGATAGCTATAATTTCCCTCTTCTTTTCTATCATACTTTCCTAACACCACTTTTACTGAACCTGACTTCCCTATACCACGCACTTGCTACACTCTACTATGCATTGACATGATACGTGTTAGAAGATGATCGGCATATTTTCGATTCCTATGACGCATACGCGCCGAGTCTTCTGTCTTCGATGCCACCAGACACCAAGCTAAAATAGCTCTGCTCCTAGAAAAGCCTACACCGAAACATCATCACTAGCGCGGGGAGTGCACCTTACCACTAGTTTTATTGTGCGGTAGAATCGTGGTATTGCACAGGGCGTCAGAACGTGTGTATTCTACAACGAGTGGGTGATACAAAGGCATGCGATATAGTGGTTCTGGTTCACTATAGCACGCCGAATACAAAGCGTGCAGGCAAGAATAATCCTCATCAGCCACACGAACGCCTTCGACAGAGTGAGCAGCTGCCCGTGACGTTTTGCTGAAGCGTATACCGGGCACTTTTCAATTCGTGACAAGGAGAAACTACGGTGTAGAGGGCGATTGACATTTTATATGAAACAGGCATTCTGCGGTAGTTTCGAATTGCCAATCTGGGAACGGCATCGAGGTTTCTTTTCTTGAAACATGGTTGCTGTGTCAATCCATAGGTGATGCGAGGCTAGCAATCGAGCACACAATGTGAACGCGGCACGATGGCTCTGTCGCTACTTAGTCTTGAAGACAAAGCTCAAGTGTTGTCAAAATTTATTGCGATAGCAACTAAATGGACACTCTTGGCTGTATTTCGCCACCGGCCTCGATGTCATGCACCGTATATGTATACGTATCTAGATATGTACAATAAAATCCCTTAAAGATGACTTCAATGCGCGGCATCGAACGTGGGACCTCCGCGCCATGAATGCGAGGCGTTAACCACTGGGCCACCGAGAGCTACCTCCTTCAACGTTCAAACGGCAAGCTATTCATATGCACTACTTACTGCTGTTGGCGGGCATTTGGGGGGGGGGAATAGGAGAATGTACACTCGATCGCGCGCCCTTATCTTGCAGTAGGGCGAGTCGTACGTCTTGGGTAGCCTTTGAGTTTTGTTGGAACAATTCTGTTGTAGTTACCGGGCGCACAAAGGTCACTGCAATTGTTGCACAGCCTTCGTCTGCGGAAAGGGCGCGCTTTTCAAACACGGCAAAGTTACAACTGAGTTGCTTATTCGCGTTAATCTGTACCTGAGAGCACGTTTAGTGCGTCCTCTGTGCGTCAGAAACGTGGGGCACGTTTCGATCTGCTTGCCATTCTGCACGTGACCTTCCAAATTGTTGCTATCGAGTTCATTGCTTCGCCTTTGCGGCAAAGCTGTGACTTTTTTTTTGTTTCAGAAAAAAGTATAGAGCTTCAGAAGCTAGCCTGTCTTTATTCATTTGCATAGAGATGTACAAATAGAAAAGAAAAAGATGGCTTACCTACCCAGTGATAAGGTACACCACATCATGGGCCCCTGGTATTCTTCCTTGACTTTTGTAATGCTTTAGTCCGGTTATCATTTCTCCCGCGTCAATATAACGGCCCTCAGTTCGAGCGAACTCGTGGTCCTGTTAAAAAAAAAAGAAGATGTATAGTACGCGAGCCCTACGCTGCGTCGCAAACTCTGACGCACTGCTTGTTATACGAAGAGGCGGGTGGGAAAAACTGTCTAAAGGACAGCTTTTACCGCCCACTCCTACGTATGCTTACACTGTATTGGTGCAAAAATAAGCGTGAATGTAATGCGGGTAAGCATATCCAATAATGAGTGTCCGCGAAACCTACCCCCCCCCCCCTTCCCCATAAAAAAAAAAACAAGTTTTCTGGAGCCACTGAAAATTTCGTGATCGCAGCCTGTTCTGCATTATGGTAGGATTCCCCACGTAAAAATTCAGCCGTGTGGTGTATTGACTCGAGTGTCGCTTTTAGCATTATGTGACTGTGAAATTTCGGCACACTTTTACGTGGCACATGTAAGCGATAAAGCTTGATGCAGGCCTTGTGAGTATATATTTAAAGTTTAAAAGTACCAACCCAAACACACAATACGACTCACTCATTATAAAAAAACGTGACATGCACGGATTCTTGTCCTCATGTATGTAGTACACCGATATCACTGTTTCACTGATGTTTCGAACAGCTGTTGAGCACGCATGAGCGGATTTTTGTTATATTCTTTGGCTGCCTTGGGCCTGGACGACTACAAGAATAAAACAGCCGATAGTCAGTGCTCGTGTGTGTCATGTCTTTTCTATGTGGGGCGCTCGTGTGTTAGCGCTGTTATTATTATTTCCCCAATATATAAACAACCATGCTGTTTCTAGGCTTGAATATTTAAAGAGAAGAAATAGTTGGAAATAAGTTTATAGTGGCTGCAGACGCAAAAGCTGTTGATATTTAGTTGGTGTGCCACTTTAAATTGGCCTTTTTCTTTGATAGGTAGAAATAAAGCACTTGTTTTACGCTGAATCGTGTCTTTATTTGCAACCTCTTCTTTTATTCTTCTCTCCCACTGCAGAGGATCCTTCAGAGCTTTCATCAGTCTATAAGCGGTTTCCAAACATTCATACTCGAGAACCACTGTACTGCTAGACCTATATTTGTTTTTTTTATAGGTGGGAGCACGTTGTTGACGCGTTCATTTATTACCCATGCGTGTGACGCCCCCCCCCCCCCCCCCCAAAAAAAATAAAGGCAGCTGCACACTAGTGGTGCCAAGAAGCTTGTTGGAAGTGTAGGGCTGGGCAGCTTTCCTAGGTTCTGTTCCGTTTTCTCTTTCTTTTCTTTTCTTTTTATTTGTTTCCTTCTATTTCTGTTTGTGTTTGTTTTTCTCCTTATTTCAGTTTACTTCTGTTTTTTTCCCAATTTCTGTCTTTTATTTTTATATTTACACGTGGTTTTGCGTGAGTTACGCGAAAAGACGGAAGCATGCGACAGCCTAGACCCCTAAAGTGCTCCCTACCGAAAATACGACACGGCGCATTTATAGCTGCCACGATTTAGCAATGCCCTTTGCGCTCATAGAATAATCACTACAGTAATAAAACGCCATTATAAATAATTCTGAGTTACTATATAAAACCCGCTCACAACTTACCAGTCTTCCAAAAAGGGGATCTTACACTATTACAGAATAAAAGAGCCATTTGATTTTGCGAATTTGCAATAAAATAGTCAAAAAATATCAAAAAACGGAATCACAATTTATTTAAATAAACTCACTATTCTTTCACCCAATCAGTCCGGCTTTGTCTCCTGCTTTTCAACAAATCTAGCTCTCACAGAACGTACCAATTACATTTAAAAGGCAATTGACATAAGTGAATTTGCAAAATTCATATTCATAGACCCTTGTAAAGCATCGACCCCAATAAGCCCCCAATTCTTTTCACATACTTCAAAGCTTTTGAAATAGCTTGCCCAGCTTTGCTCATTATGCACATTTATTTACATGGTTGAAATAAACATTTGATATATCTGATCTTTTATTCTACTGAAGCAACTACAGACATAGGTGTATCAGAGGGGTTCATATTACGTACCCTACTGTTTTTAACCCATATAAAGACTTGCCGTTTTGCCTTTCCTTATCTAATTCTAACTTACATGCCGAGGACACAGCGATTTTTATATCTAATCGCGGCACACCTACACTAACAGGTTTTTAAGTGAACACAACCCGTGATATTATATACGCGCTGTGAAAAATATCAAGCTGCAAATTCACCATATTATGGCAAAATTTGTCATCTTTTCCTCACATTAGCATTTTTTCAGTCTTAGTTAAAATATTTCTATTACCATTAACAATATCTCCCCAACTAATCATTGTGCATTTTTTGGTGGGGAACTTGATGGCCACCTCGTATTTAAACTACACGTCTCTAACGTAATTAAGAAAATAACCTGCGGTGCGGGCTTTCAACGCTTGGTTGCATTTCTACTTCCATACTCTCATATAACTTCATTATGCTTTCGTTCAGACTCATTTTACTGCAGCATTGAGTCACGAGGCAACACATACAGTGGCTTTCTAAGAGACATTCAAAACCAAGCCATTTGTCTAACAACGTTATCGCTTCATTGTGGTAATGCCATTTACATCTTGAATTGAAGGTAAAAAATCTGGAGACACTGTGCCGGTCAAAGTAAAAGTTTATAAACAAAAAAAGACGTTAAGAAAAAAAACAAAAAACAAAAGGACACTTGCCCGGAACATGTCCTATTGTTCTTCTTGATTTCGGATATGATATCCTAAACCCTGGTTTGTTCTCTGGCCCACTCTGCTCTTTTCTCTGCTCTTAAAGTTACACCTATAAGTTTCTTTTCCATCGCTTGCTACGTCATTCTCAATTTAAGCTGAACCCTCTTTGTAAGCCTCCAGGTATCTGCTGTAGCTAAGTGCTGGCAAGTATCAGCTGTTATATACTTCCCTCTTGAGGGTTAGTGCAGAATACCATTAATGAATCGAGAATATTTGTAGAATTTTACTCACCCTATCTCCATTCTTCTAGCCATTTCACTCTCATGGTTCGGATCCGCGGTTACTACCTGCCCTAAGCAGGCATATTACTTTCCAACTTCCAGCGTCTCTGCGCCTATCACAAAGTGTTCTTTTCTGCCGAGACTGTTGCACATGAATTTAGTTTTCTGCATATTCATTTTCAGACCTACTTTTTCGTTTTCCATACCCAGTTTAGTATTCATTAGCTAGAATTCTTACCCTGAATTACTCATTAAGGAAATGTCATCAGCGAATAGCAGGTAACCTATATACTCTTTTAACATTTATCCCTAACTCTTCCCAATCTAGGGTACTGAAAACCTCCTGCAAACACGTGGTGAATAGCATCGGAGAGATCGTGTCTCCATACTCTCTTCTTCATCGGCACTCTATCGCTTTCTTTATGGAGAACTATGGTGGTTGTGTATCCACTGTAGATTTCTTTCAGTATGTTTATGTAAGGTTCTTCGGTGCCCTGATTCTATAGGGCCTGCATTGCTGCTGACGTCTCGACAGAGTCAAATGCCCTCTCATAACCAATAAAGGCAATGTATAAGAGTTGGTTGTATTCCGCCAATTACTCTGTTGCTGGATTCATAGTATAAATATGGTCTATTGTGGAGCAGCCTGTACGAAATAATGCTTGGTCTTTTGGTAGACTGAACTTTAATGTTGCCCTAATTCTTGGAGGTAACATTTTTGTAAATAGTTTGAGGAGAACGGACTTATCGGATTTTATCCTTTCAAGTCCTTGACGTGTCTTTTTTTCTCAAGAATTAAGGTGATATTTGCGTTATTCAACGATTCTGGTACCCTTCCTGTCAAGAGACACTTCGCGTATAAGGTGGCCAGTTTTTCCAACACAATTTGTTCCCCATCTTAGAGAAGGTACGCTATTAGCTAATCCTCACCAGCGGCACTGCCTCTTTGAATTCCTTCTTGGGCTTTCCTTACTTCCCCTGTCGTTGATGGTAGGATGCCGAATTATACTGGGCTAATATTGCTTCTCACATTATCATCCTGGTTGTTTTGGCGTCTGTAAAGCTCTCTGTAGAACTACTCTGCTACTTCGGGTACCTTGTCGATATTGGTTATGACATTGCCTTCCATGCCAGAGAATTGTCAATTTTCAGTGGAACGCAAGAGGTCTTAGATCTCGCATTTCTGATTTCCGTCAGTTCGTTTGTCTATATTAATTTTCTGTCATGAGTATATGTGAACCGAAATTGTCGCACTCAATCCGATTCTCAGGCTACGAGTCATTTTTCTCACCAAGGGACATCGAAAGTAGCCATGTTGTTGTATTTATTTGCTGGGAGCTTACCTACGTCATACAGCCAGTGCAACCTCACAACGACAATCAGTTTGTGTGCTTGACTGTAAAAAATGGAAAGATAACATTCTCACACCTGGGTGTGTATATATCCCCCCCATCAAAACGATTTGACACTAACCAACTGGACGGCCTATTGAGGGTACATCCGTGTCCGTGGGTTATCACCAGGGACTTCAATGCGCATCCTCCTATCTGGAAAAGCTCAAGGGTTCATTTCAACAGGACGACGTCTAGCATCATTGGTTTCCAACCATGGTCTCATTCTTCTGAGTGACGTAAGTCGTACGTTTTTGCGAGACACCAAATATTGCAGTAGCCTTGATTTGTCTTTTGTGTCACGCTGATTCGCTACACGGGTAAAGTGGTTTTTGTACATTGAAACACATGGAAGTGACCACATCCCCACTTACCTGATAATCAAAGGTATTTTGAACACGTACTCATGTACCACGACAAGAAGAATAGATTGGACTATGTTCAAAGTTCAACTTGAGGATGCTCGTGAGGAAGGCCTCTCTCACGGTTTTCAGCAAGCTAATAAGGAAACTGCACAGGCGGCTATGCGCAAAATATGCTCTGCGAAATACTCTGAATTTGACATCAAGCTAGAGAGACTTCGTGTGATCCGCCGTTGTGCCGAAAGAAGGTACTGACGCACCGATTCCATGGACGATCTACGGGCAGTCCGGCGCATGCAAAAGAAGATGCAACAGTGCCTCGACAAATTAAACACCCAACAATGAAGCAAATTTTGTGCGTCGCTTGATCCTCATAATCTACTGTCTCAGATATGGAGAACTGTGCGAGGCTTATGTTCTGTTCCAGAGCGGCGCTTTTCTTTCAGAACCCTTGTACTTTTCCATCGCCGACGTGAAATTGAGGTGGAAGAAGAGTTCTTTGCTATGATTTTGGGCCATACAACGTACAAAAGCCTACATAGAGCGAACCATATTCCTAACTCACGGACCCGCGCATAGATCTACCGTTTACATCACAGGCACTTGATGTGGCGCTCGCCCTATGCAATAGATCATCGACGACTGGCCCGGATGGCATTTCTTACTGAATGCTGTGCCACCTTGGTGAACGAGCAGAGCAAGCGCTCTTTGACATCTTCAACGAATCCTGGCAAGCTGGTGATGTAGCGCAAGATTGGAAGATTAGCCGCTTGGTACCGCTTCTTAAGCCTGGCAAATTTCCCTTGGACATTACCTCTTACCGACCGATCGCACTTTGAAGCTGTGTTGGAAACGTAATGGAGAGAATGATCTTGGCCAGACTTGATTGGTACCATGAATACTACGTGATATATTGGAACGCCATGGCTAGTTTTCGCCGTCACCAATGTTCCTTAGACAATGTTATAGATCATGTGACATATGGCTAGCATCAAAAGGTGTGTAAACAATTATCTGTTGCCACGTTCCTTGATGTAAAAGGAGCAAACAACAACGTTCTTCATGACGCCATCCTCGAAGCTATTGAATCAGTGGGCCTAGGTGGACAACTGCGTTGTTGGACACACAGTTATTCACAAGGACGGACTTTGTTTGTGAACACTTCAGATGATCCAACCTCCCAACACCCGACGCATCATGGAGTTCCGCAAGGTGGCGTCTTGAATTTAACCCTCTTCAACATCGTTCTCAGTCGTCTTGTGGAACGAATACCTATTGTGGTCAAGCTATCTATGTACGCCGACGGCATCTGCGTCTGCGCACTTGGCGTGACAAGATCTCAGGTACGCGCAAGACTTCAGAAAGCTGCGACGTTCGTATCAGTGTACCTCATTGAACGGGGTATGAAGATCTCGCCAGTGAAATGTGCATTGATTGCTTTTAGTCGAAAGTCAATGAGACCATACGCTATATCTATCGACGGCCAAGACATACCATATGTCAGGAAGGACGGATTTCTAGGCGTATTCATTAATAGAGACCTCTGCTGGGGCCCATATGCGGCCCACTTGAAGAAGTGGCTGACAGACATTGCTAACTTATTCAAGTACCTTGAAGAAAAAACCTGTGAGACTTCAGTACATGCAGTGATGCAATTGTAGAAGTTTTTGATCGGCTTTTTGAGATACAGCTTGCTTTTGTTGACCATTACCTGCCAAACCAGCATTCGCACTCGAAAGCATCCAGGTTATGGCTCTGTGGGTTTGTCTGGGGCTACCGTGATGTTCGTCAATAGCTGAGACAATTGCGATCGCAAAGGACTACCAACTCAAGACGCATATCGTATTGGACGTGCTCAGAGCAAACGTGATGCATCTTACTCGTGCCCCTGCCCATTATCTAGCATCACTTCCAGAAGGCCGATCTCGTGCCTATTCTGCACGACTGTCTAGACATATCGTACGCACATACCCCCCGAATATACAACTCTGTCCAAAATCGCAACTCCCCCAAGGTGTATGACTAATCCACATGTTTAACTCACGGTTCCAGTCATACGGTCAAAAGCCCGGCTCTCATCCCCAACGCTAAAGCAGCTCTCTTTTCTCTTGTTGTATGAGAGGCACTGTGAGCATAACCATCTATATACTGACGGTTCTACTAAAGTATATGGGTCTGCAGGGTGTTATCTTTCCTGCAACAGCGACAACGACAAAGATTCAATTATCCCACCAGACGCCATGGACAGTTTCAGAACATGCTGGTCTACGCAGCGCACTTAAAGTCACCAAACACCAAGAAGCCAAGAAATGGAGCGTGTTCATGGACTCCATGGCAGCGCTACAGTGTTTGGTGTTCACCTTATGCCGGTAACCCCATGAACAACTATTGCTGGAAATTATAGAGTTGCTTCACTACCTCTTGGACGAAGAACATGAAATCACGTTTCAGTTGCTTCCAAGTCACTGTGGCATATTGGCCAACGAACATGCCTATGGAGCTGCTCAATCAGCACAGGAAGATGGCGAAAAGCATCAATTTCATTTTCAAGGACTGATGCTGCAATGAAAATTTAAAAAAAAGTCGCATATGAACAAGTGAAATTCCCATGGAACGCTGCGGGCTTACGGCTCACACGACTGCATAGACTGGACACGTCTCGTCAACTTCGGCCTCCGTCCGGACTCTCTCAGCTTGAGACAACGGTGCTTTGCTAACTGTGGCTTGTTGCCGCTTGCCCCAAAGTTTTTGCCTTCTGAATCGGCATGGAGGACAGTGCAACTTGCGATCATTGCGGCAGCAATGAAACGATAGAGCGCGTTCTCTGTCCTTGCCCTCGTTACAGCGTGCAAAGACGGCCGGTAGCTGCTTCGTTAGCTCACCTTGACGACATAACCATGTCAAAACTCTCAGTGTTTAAAAGTGGCATCATCTGTCTTCGCGAGGAAAATCAGTGAATGATTTATTGAGCTTTTTGCGTGGTAGTGAGCTAGTGAATAGGCTATAGCACCTCAGCTCGCTTTTTTTTCTTTTCCTTTTCACGCGTCCATTTCGCTCTTTGCTTTCTTTCCCATCTTTATTCTTTGTTCTTCCTTCCCTCAGTGGAGGGTAGCGAACCGGATGCTCCTATTTCTGGTTAACCTCCCCACCTTTCTGTCATTTTCTTCTCTTTCTCTCTCCTTGTTTATTAATGCACACCTGAAGTTTTTGCCTATGCATAAGTTTGCCTTTGCAGCTTTTAAGCTTCTGCCACTTTTTGCAGCTCACTCGATTCTCTTCATGTCATGCCTTCTAATGTTGACTACCTTACGCCCATTGATTCTATAGTTTCGAAACCCCCAAAAGTTCTATTTTGTCGGTTGCATTTGAGGCTTTCATGGTTTGTAGTCCCTTAATAATATTTTTCGTCTCCTGACATAGCTTGCCCATGTGCTGTACCTCAGACTTTTATTGCACACTCTTTGACGATCAGTTTGATTATCATTCATTGTGCCAACGCTAACCTCAAATACCTCGTTTATTGCCTCGAACCTATTCTGAAGCTGAACTCTTAACTCCTCTACTTCATATCTCACTGTTAGTTACTCATTGTATTAAGGATTCAACGAGTTAATAAATCAGAGAGTGCTTACACATCTTCCTTTTAAAATAAAAGCCTTCGGGGCTTCGATTATTTCACGCTTTTGTTGATTGGGCTTTGTGCCTCACACTTCACACTTGCTGAATTCGCAATTGCAGCCTCATTATTTGCTGTGAATTGGAACATGACTGCTGATGGCTCTTGTTACGTTATACTGGTGTTTACGAAGCCTCTTGCTTATACAGCGGCCAAACTGGCCACGTGCTCTCGTGCACATGTCAATCTATGTACAGCATTTGCAGCACATTTACCAAACTGTATCCATGTTTTTCGTTACAATGAACGTGTTACTAGAAAGCCTGAACAGCGTTTTAGGTGCGGTTAAATATACGTCTGTATTCGCACGTAGACATATTCAGTTCAAATTATTTGCAATTCGTGTAGACAGAATTACCGAGGCCTTCCGGCGGTGCTTCTGATCCACATATTCGTTTTGTTCTTGTGACATGACTTTGCTGGTGTTTGTCTATGGGGAAATCTTCTTAGCGACTTTGCGTAGATAAACGGTCATAATACATCTTGACACCTACCTTTGACAGCTATCACTTTTGCAATTATTACCGGAATTCGCGAGTTCATTGGACAGACACTATTTTACGACTTTCTTTTCAGTAATTCTATATGACATTGTGATATGATAAGATAGGTTTCTGACTTTGCCGATCATGTGGCCCGTTCATACTGCAGGTTCATACCGTTTGTCCTGTTAGGCAATGGTATCAAGCTTTTTTTGCGTTAGTGAACATTTAATACTTTTTCGCTCTGTTTTCGGCTTTGCCTTCAGTTTGCTTTTTGTTTTTTATTTGTTTTTTTACGTCACCCACGATGGCTGATACGTTAATATGTATTTATTTATGTTTTTGCCACATTCAACTTAAGTTGTCTGCCCTGGTCTTTTGCGCTGTTTGTACAATGGCCCCGAGAAGTTTTATCCTTTCGAGATATGCCGTGAGTCGATGTGTTTTTATGCGTTTATAGGTGCGCTGTGGAGATAAATAAGGCTATTTACCAGCACTAGTGAAAACGATGTTCTTGGATAAAAGCACGAAAAAAAATCCTGATGTATCCCGGTGAAACAAAACGCACTTATGAATATTCATGATTATAGTTTCTTTAAATAAGTTCTCGCGCTAAATTATATAGAAATTGCGTACTTGATATTGGCATGCCAAAATGGCATATAGAAAAGTTATTCTTACTTTTGTCCTTGTTACGCCGACGAGAAGAAAGTCAATTTTGGGGTTTGTCGTGTCCAAATATCTTAGGTTCACCTAAAAAAAATTCATGATTAACATCACAGTTCAGCGTAAAGCGCCACTTTAGTCAATAATAATCAAATTCTGGGAAACTTATTATAACCAATCAATTGACAGAGAATTTATTTAGGCGCCCAGGAACAACCATAAAGTCTTGGTGCAGGCGTACGCAAAAATGACACAATATAAATAAACAATTCAATACAGTCTACAAAAAATCATTAAGACGAAACTAGAATACACGGACAAAAGGAAATCACCACAAAATGGAAAGAATAGAAGAAAAGGTGAATTATGAAATGACAGTGAAAAACGAAGGGGAATATCCTCCCGGAAAAGAGGAAAAAAGAAGAATCTGTACAGTGTCGAAAATTATCTCAACCCATGTCTTTATCTCATCCGCTGTAAATATTTTATCAAGATCATGAAAATATTATTACATAGGCGGTATTCTGTGAGCAGTAGAGCGTTGAAAGAAGTTGGCAGGTACGTGAAATGGTGCATTCTCTCTGGTTAACTTAGCCGAATTTGAAACTTTACAAACTGGAAAGCTTAGGGCAGGTTCTGATAACGTGAACTAGTTTGTAAAGAAATAACCCCCGTATTCACGAACCTAACTCAACCTAAACCGTCTGACTTAAGTCAACATTAGCCCTAAGTCCACCGTTAACGCGTTTCAAGAACCTACCTTGTAGTTATAGCGTAACTTTTCTCGTACTTAAGTAAGGCTCGGTTAAGGTAGCCTATGACTGACCTTAAGGCTTCCTTAAACAACATGACGGGGGATGACAACTTTGCGTATTCCGCATAGAAGAACGATCGAACAGGATGCTGTTCGAAATTTCGGCGCGGCAATGACGTGAACGCGTACACGTCACTGCCACGGCGAGGCCTCAACGCTCGACGGAACCTTGTTGAGCCCTACGAAAAGCAAGATTTTTTATTCCGCCCCCACTCCACAAAAAGTGCCGCTAAAAACCTGCTCGCAGTGCTGTTTCTGGAGAAAAATACCCATGGTCGTGGGTTCATTGTGCCCCGTCTCATGCCGCATGCAGCTGCTCATCGCTTCGCGCTTTTGAGGAACTGGCACGTTTGAACCTCGAAGCGACATCTCTGGCCCTGTCTCGTAGCCAACCATGTCACGAGTATACAAACAAGCGGATACCTGCTATGGTGGCAAACACTTTTTCCGGTACCGGTAAAACTTCTCGAAGTGGCGCAAACACTTTTATAGATGTCTGGTCAGTCATTCATGGATGCACAGTGTGTCGAGTGTTGCATTATATCGCCAGCTGCTTCCACGTTTTATCTGAAAGCACACGGCGTCCGTCTTGGCACTTGTTCACAAAATCCGTGAGGACGTAGCCACTTTGTCGATGAAGTTCATTTCAGTGCACCGTTCCGCAATAAATGCAACTTCGTTAAAATTGATGTAAAACTGCTAAAATTATCAAATAAATTTTGTGATATATAAAAAAAGTGAAAGAAAGTAGTGAACGCTGAAGCGAGCGTGATAACACCACCAAACACACAAAAAACATCCAAGATGTCAAAATAACAACGATCACCTGCATCGACCAGAGGAGCAGAAAAGTGGCCAGACGAAAAACGTGTATTTCAACGAAAGCTGCTGGTGCCTTAAGAAACCTCCCTACTGTTGCGTTTGGCTGCTTATGTGCATACTATTTTTGTTTCTTAGAGTAAATCTGATTTATTGCTGCTCGAGGTAATGATTTCGCTGAAAAAATTCACCTACCCTCGCATCCAATGCCTATCGGCCACGAAATTGAGCAGAGTCGCCGCCTGGCGACAACTGGCTGAAACGGTTAAGTGTGGATTGCTCCTCGCATCGTCTGCTAGCCACGTCGTGTTTCTAAGTGCGCGTACATCATGTATGTTTTCAAAGTGTGGTTTGTCCGGTCATGTCAGGGCGAGTGTAACTATTCCTAGGTATGCAGGAAATTGCGTACAAAAGCATTTGGTCTTGCTCGGCTGCTAATGCATCGTAATAAGTTCGGTGAGTGCAGCTTTCGAGAGTGCTGTTTATTGTCGTCGTACCCTTCATTATGCAGAATAATTTCAAATTGCGTACCACTTTCTATTTCAAGCACATCACGAAACGCTTTTTGCATCCTCCCAAACTGGAGAAATGATAAATGCTGAGTGAATTCGGTGTCTTATATCGACTCGGTTGATACCCCCCCCCCCCAAAAAAAAAATCAGGCTGGAGGTCATGAATTTGCGTGCTGTTGGTAGGTGGAGAAATACGGCACTGTAGTTTATTGATCATGTGAGGAGCCTTTGTTGTGTTTATCTGACCGTGGTACCACTTCATAGAAATAATACCAGCACATAAACTGTAATACATCGGTACCTAAACTGTACTTAGAACAGAGTTGCCGTGTGCAACCGTGTGCTCAGATTTAAGAACGTTTTAAACGCCCTAGACATTAAAAATTAATTCAGATGGCATGTCTTATATATAACGTCATAAGATTTCACTGAGAATTTCAACTTTTTTTACTTTGTTGTCAGTGTTTCTGTGGCATTTTTGTTTACCGACGCAAGGCAGTGGTGATTTTTGCCTGAAAAAAAAAAACAATATGCTTGTCTTATTAACCAAGCCTTCGTTGTAGCACCCTCATGCACGTAATCTATTGTTGAAAGCTTTATGCTGAACTCTCATATAAGAGTTTTACTGGTGCAAGAACATGTGCGTACACGTGGTAAACACAGTGTAGCTCAAAGCGCCGTTCGCCACTAAGCTTTCCTGAGTAGAGTTATCGACCGTCCCACATTTCATGGTGAACAGATTGAGAAAAAACATCATATGCGCATAAGGTGCGAACGGTGGTACTGAACGAATCGCACAGATATGCGGGCTTTCTACAATCTTTCTTTCTCTTTTTTGTAGTATGCAGGCGACAGAGATGTAAACAATAGTTCAGTCACAGTACAGCAGTGCGTAGCAGGCGGAACACAAGCTAACTACGTACAAACAACACATCAAAGGCGTGATTTAGTGCGAAAGCGTGAAGGGAGGCAACCAAGGGCGAGCACCCCTATGAAAGGCAGAATGCACTAACTCGCGGGTAATGTTAACGTTTCATAGGAGTCGTGCATCGATTAAGTAGAGAAGAGCGTAGATAATAAAGGTAAACTGTAGTCAACGCCCATTTTATCTGCCGAAAATCAGCTCAGACCGCCCGCAACGACGCACCGCTGTGTTTATTTGTATACGCGCCACCGACCGCCAATCCACACTTCCGTGAGACGGTGCTGCTACCTATAGCCCAATCTCGGTGCGAACGTTTCAGAAGTTGAGGACGCCTTTCAAAAGGTGCCCTTATGACAAGATAAGGGAGGTTTCTGAAATGTACATTTCCTATACATTTGTCGTAACTAGCCTTAGCACCACAACTTAAGGCTGGTTCATGAATACTGCGGTAAGAGGTCCGCGAGATTCCTACGGGAATAAAGGGACGGCAGTGATAATAATCTGGCAGTGTTAGAACAAGATCAAGAGTCATTCCGATGGTTGTAAGTGCTTAGGATTTTCGCCGGACTCGCACAATGACAATAATAATATTAACATCATCATCATCATCATGAACAACAACAACAACAACAACAACAATAATAATAATAATAATAATGATAATAATAATAGTAATAATAATAATAATAATAATAATAATAATAATGTAATCGGGATTTTAAACGCCCCTAAAACCACGATATCGTTGAGAGACACCGTTGAGTACACTGTAACCAAAAAGGTACACAGGTGGGAGGAATTGAGAATGATGCTCTCACTCGGCTCCGGTGACAGCATGCAAACCAAAGTGTACTGGAGCATATACATTCGTTTTGTCTCTTTTACTTCGGTGGATGATGGACGAAGGAAACCGGAGGAAAACGGGGCCTATTTCCTCATTATGCTCCGGTGGCTCCTCCTCAACTGCCCCGGTGGGTACTATGTAATTGCTCCCGCGCATCGCTCAGTGGATTTCATTGGCTGTTCGAGGAGTGACGTAGCAGCATGGCCGCCGGGCGGCCACCATTTTCCACAAACCAACATGGCGCAGAACAAGCCAGTGCAGTGAGGATTGTGCGAAGCCTTCGGACGCGTTCGGGAAAAGGAAAATGTTCCGTGCGCTTCCTGGATATCACAGGCGACTACAAGGGGAAACGAAGGTTGTCATCGACAAAAAAGTGTTGCGGGAACCTAAATTGTGTAGCAGTTCCCGCCAGCGAACGACACTTCGTAATCTCGCGAGGGTTGGTAAGCCAAACATGCAACTAATTTACCCAGTCCAAACATTAGGCTAATTTTACTGGACGTCAGTAATAAGTCAGCGCAATTCCGATACGTTGTTTGGACTTTGTGTTTCATTTTTTAACATAACTTCGGCAAAGTAAGACAAGAGAAGCGAGCGAGTTGTTACCAATTCATCATGACGTAAATTTAGCGCAAAATAAGACGAGGTCCAGAAAGTGAATACCACAAGGGCTTCTAGTGTCCGCGTTCTCAATCTCGCCCTATTTCGCTCTACACTTACGCTATAACAACTTTGTTAAACTAAAACAAGTCACTGTAATGTTAGGAACGCTGCTTAGATATGCAACATTCGAAATTATTAGAGTTTTGGGTTTGTTCTACAAAATGTTAATAATTGTTATAAGTAAACGTAACTGGTCCAAAACCTTTTTGGTCTTGACTGTACACATAAATGGTAATACTTGCCCGCTTTCCATAACAATAAACACCCGATCGAGATCTACAACAGCATTAAAATTATTTTGTTATTTATTGTAATCTTAACTAATGACTAACTGAAATCAGCTATAATTATTAACGAATGTAGTGAATTGCGGTACGAAGTGTTTGGTACACACTTTTAGAACGGGTACACGCACTCACACTGGTGAAAAGTCATTCTGATATGATAAGCCTACGGGGGCTGTGGCGCTTACAGGAAAAAAAAAGGGGGGGCGAAAAAAACTGACGAGTC